TTGAGGACATAAAAAAGGAAAACTTGTGAGACACTTAAGACAGGGTAGAACACAGTGTGAGGGATACCTGAATGTCTCACAAATTAAGTTGTGAGCTTAGGTGTTTCCTCGACGCCTCAAATACTCTTCAAAGTTTGAGCAATTTTAAATTCGTAACTAGATTATATAGTTTCCATACACTCCTCTATCCTGGCTGTCACTCACAGAGATATTTTAAAGTGTGAGCCGCAGACATTCTGTTTGGTTACTGACATTGAATCGAATGTCCCTCACGAGTCTTCAGTGCAACTATGCTCTACCTACAGGCAACAGCTTTCAGAGGAGCAACGGGAAAGGGTCATTGCACTGAGGCACCGAATGTTAATCTCTGAATTGTAGAAACTCCAGACACCAGAGAAACTGCGTTAAATGTTATTTATAGGACATACTTTTTAATGAAGATTAACCAGAATTTGTTTATCATATAGGAATGCCTCAGCACATTGTTCTAAATGGTGAACTTGTTTTTCTGAAATAACAATCGTAAGAGCATACCAAATCAAATAAACAAGACACATGTCTAAGTTGTGTCTTAGGTTACTGCTTTGGGTTAACAAACAGACTTAATATATAAACAGAAATGTAATCGTTATTTTTTTTTTCTTTTTCTTTTCTTCTGTTTATTTATTTATTTATTTATTTGAGAAAGAGTCCTGCTCCATCACCAGGCTTTAGGTCACTGCAGCTTGAACCTCCTGGACTCAAGCCATCTTCTGCTCTCAGCCTCCCAAGCAGTTGGCACTACAGGTGAGCACCTCCATGCTAATTTATGTTTTTATTCTTTGTATTCTTCTTTTTGAAATGGATTTTACTCTGTCACCCAGGCTAGAGTTCAGTGGCACAATCTTAGCTCACTGCAAACTCCATCTCCCAGGTTCAAACAATTCTCCTGCCTCAGCCTCCTGAGTAGCTGGGATTACAGGCGCGCACCACCATGCCCAGCTAATTTTTGTATTTTTAGTAGAGACGGGGTTTCACCATGTTGACCAGGATGGTCTCGAGATCACGCCTGTTATCCCAGCACTTTGGGAGGCCGAGGCGGTTGGATCACAAGGTCAAGAGATCGAGACCGTCCCGGCCAACACAGTAAAACCCCGCCTCTATTAAAAATACAAAAATTAGCTGGGAGTGGTGGCGGGCACCTCTAGTCCCAGCTACTCGGGAGGCTGATGCGGAGGGATCACTTGAACCTGGTAGGCAGCGGTTGCAGTGAGCTGACACTGTGCCACTATGCTCTAGCCTGCGTGACAGAGCGAGACTCTCTCTCAGAAAAAAAAAAAAAAAAAAAAACAAAAAGAGCAATTTCCATACAGCACCTTTCTTCTAACATCAAAGAGGCCCTGACAAAGTAACAATCAATGTAAATGAAATATTTAGAGTTAACCCACTGTGTTCATAGTTTGAATCTAATCTAGAGTTGGATCAATGTTTCCAGTTCCTATCAGAGAAAGTATTCTTTTGAGTACTCTGGCAATCAAGCCTGCTTCTGGGGACAGAGATGCTCTTGAATAATAATTTAATATGGGGCCTGGCACGGTGGCTCACGTCTTTAATCCCAGCACTTTGGGAGGCTGAGGCAGGTGGATCACCTGAGGTCAGGAGTTTGAGACCAGTCTGGCCAACTAGAAGAAACCCCGTCTCTACTAAAAATACAAAAATTAACCAGGCATGGTGGCACGCACATGTAATCCAAATTACTTGGCAGGCTGAGGCATGACAATTGCTTGAACCTGGAGGTGGAGGTCGCAGTTAACTGAAATTGCGAGACTGCACTCCAGCCTGGGCAACACAGTGAGACTCTGTCTCAAAAAATAATAATAATTTCATATGGCATAGAAATTAGAACCTGACTGAATAACCAGTAATTTACCATTTCAAATGAAATTCTTTTATCAAATAGTTTTTATTTAAACTAAAAGTATTTCTTGTATAATATGATTGTTGTAACAAGAACAATGGAAGTAAGCACGATACTTTTCATGGACTGTTAGAGACACTCATGTCATGACTGGTTAAGAGGGATAACAGACAGGAGAGTAGAAGTGAGTAGAATAAAATACATTTCTCAAGACAATAAATACCATTTGTTGCGTGTATTGTCTGCTGAATTGATAGTACAGTTATTAAAATGATGCTTTGCTGCAGATATACTGGCTGACTAATTTTTCTGGTGATCACAGAAGGAGAACTAAAAAGCACTGTTGAGGTATCTATCCTGCGTTTTGCAATTTCATCAAGTGTTGAGAGCTGCATAATTGTAGTCAACTTTAATTCAACTAGCTACAAGATATAAAATTTACCTTGATTTGTCATGCTTTTATCCATTTGAATTATGTTTGTAAGAACAACATTTTTTATGTAAGACACATTGTAAATGTCTAAGGGCTTTCTAAAAAATACTCAGATTGAAAAAAATACTTAGATTCATGAACGAAGTAAATCCATTACAGAGCATATTTGAAAATAGGAAAAACAAAAAGGGTGTGTTGTTAAAAGCCATCGGGAGAGTACCAGCTCCTGTATCAATGCACCTAGAAATATCCCAAAGGCATGTGTCATTATTATTCAGTGGTTCCATCATCGTGGCTTTACTTGTAGATGAAATGCTATCTGGCAAATTAGGTTCTTTCTTACAGCATCATATGCATGCCATGTGACAGTTTTGATTACTGGAGTTATCAAGTGATTTGCAAATAGATGAGTGTTTCTGATTTTGTTTTTAATCAGGAGTAAATTTTAAAAATTAGATAATAAGAAAACAGCAGAAGGCTCTCATCTTTGAAACTACCCATTCTTTTTCTTTTTCTTTTTTTTTTTTTTTTTTTTGAGGTGGAGTTTCCCTCTTGTTACCCAGGCTGGAGTGCAATGGCGCGATCTCGGCTCACTGCAACCTCCACCTCCTGGGTTCAGGCAATTCTCCTGCCTCAGCCTCCTGAGTAGCTGGGATTACAGGCATGCGCCACCATGACCAGCTAAGTGTTTGTATTTTTAGTAGAGACGGGATTTCACCATGTTGACCAGGATGGTCTTGATCTCTTGGCTTCGTGATCCACCCACCTCCGCCTCCCAAAGTGCTGGGATTATAGGCTTGAGCCACCATGCCAGGACTGAAACTACCCATTCTTTTGGCTGATGAGAATATGGAAGAAGATGCTGCCATTAGGAGAGAAAATTGGTAACAAATGATAGCAAAGACAACTGGCAATATATATGCCAAAAATTCTTATTTGTACATGTTTTGATTCCGTAATGTTATTTCTGCAGATGTATGCCAAGCAGGTAATCATGGGCAGACATAAAATAGATCAATGACATTAAAGTGTCATTTATAATATAAAAACATTGTAATTATTCCCAAAAAATATTGTATTATTTAACTAATGTACATGAATAAAGTATTATACATCATTAAATATTGTAAAAATATTTAATCATCTGGAAAATTGTGTATTTTCTATTTTTTAGTTAAAACAAGGCAGGTAACAAAATGGCATTGAATTTATAAAAGTGCTGAATTTATTGATATGTGGAAATTATTTTATATGTCCATATATGCGGTATAATCCCATTTTTGTAACTTTATGACAAAAGAGAAGTTACTTATTTGTGAAAATTTATGGAAAAAAATATTTAAATAATAAATTTAAAATGCTTATGTTTGTGTAGTATTAATAGTAATGATTATTATACATTTACTTATTGTTTATGTATATTTTCTAAATTTCTACCATGGAAACAATTTTTTTTTAAAAGAAAAGCTTAAAAGTTAGCTGGTCCTGGTGGCCCATGTCTGTAAACCCAGCTATTCAGGAGGCTGAGGAGCAAGGATCACTTGAGCCCAGGAGTTTGAGGCGGCTACAGTGAGTCATGACTGTGCCACTACACTCCAGCCTGGGTGACAGAGTGAGATCCTGCCTAAGAAAACAAAAAGAAAACCAAACCAAAACAACAACAGAAAAGCTCACAAAAAAATCAAATGCATCAGGAATTAAATGGATGCAAATTAAAACATTTACATTCAATTTATCCTCACTGATAATAGTAAAATTAGTGATAATAAAGTAATAAAATGAATGATAGTTTTATCAAAAGTGTAGTAAAGTGTACTTTTAAAATGGTCACGAAATCTTTGACACAAAACATTCGTTTTTAGGAATGTATCATTAGAAAATTACGAGGTTCATGACAAGAATGCAGATGGATCATTTACACATGCGTATAAAATATTGAAGAACTAAATATAATAATTATTGCTCACTGATTAGGATTTGCTTTAAATAAAAAAAGTTACAACAGAATAGAGAATACAGCAATCTACTGAAACAAAAATTGAAAGACTATTAATTGACAATGAAATATATTCAAGAGGTGTATTGGTAAGGAGGGAAATGACATACAATTGTATTCTGAATAACAATATTTAAATAATATATTCACACATATGTTTGTATTATGAGTATCAAGAAAAGTCTGAAAGAACTGACTCACAATCTTACAAATTTTTTCTCTGATGGCACAATTATAAACTTTTCCTTATAGATCTGTCCTGACATTTTAATAACATAAATAGGTGTTACTTAGTAAAACATTGATTTGAAAGTATTTTAAGACTATATGTAATAGAATGGGATCCTTAGAATTTATCCAATCTCCTAGCTCAAGGTGACTCAACCATGATGAAAATATGGGTACATTTTAAAATAGCAAGATTTGAAAAATGTGAGAACCCTGCTGCTGTTGGTGGGAAACATTAAACTAAGTCATAGAATTTTAGAATTAAAATCATTAAATGTTAAACAGTGACCATCTATATACCCAGAATAAATAATAATATTTTAATTTTAAAAGAAGTTTTCTTTTGTGGAAAACGTAATTGACAATGCATTTTGGGTCATGATTTCTACTTATTTACTAATCGGCATGATACAACGATAAAAGAGGAGAAGGGCTGAGTTACTCACTCTTGTTGTGTAAGCAGCTTCTGGGTCGTCCTCCAGGACACGTGAAAGTCCAAAATCAGAAACCTTGCACACCAAGTTACTGTTGATCAAAATGTTTCGAGCAGCGAGGTCTCGGTGAACATATCCCATATCTGACAAGTACTTCATACCAGATGCTATCCCTCGAAGCATCCCCACTAGCTGAATGACAGTAAACTGGGCATCGTGTTTCTGCGAAGCATTTCAAATGTACAATGAAGGTATGTTCCTCTTTCTTGAAGATATATCTTTATTGGTTAAAATCTCACATGTTGAATTTTGTAGCAAGACTGACCATACAAACTTTAGTTCGAAGCACTCAAGATTAAGATAGGTGGCCCAGCACTTTCCGAGGCTGAGGTGGGTGGATCACGAGGTCAAGAGATGGAGACCATCCTGGTCACATGGTGAAACCCCATCTCTACTAAAAATAAAAACAAAAATTATCTGGGCACGGTGGTGCGCACCTGTAATCCCAGCTACTCGGGAGGCTGAGGCAGGAGAATTGCCTGAACCCAGGAGGCGGAGGTTGCGGGTGAGCCGAGATCGCACCATTGCACTCCAGCCTGGGTAACAAGAGTGAAACTCTGCCTCAAAAAAAAAAAAAAAAAAAAAAAAAAAAAAGGTGGCAAGTGGATACAAGGCTGAAGCAAAATAACATAATTACTATGTTATCAAATACGTTGTAACAGGAGTATCTTAACATTCTTTGATTTCAGTTTAAAATCAAGGACTTTCCCAGTCCTTGTGTGACATAAAAACTAACGGCTCCGCCGGGTGCAGTGGCTCACGCCTGTAATCCCAGCACTTTGGGAAACTGAGGCAGGTGGATCACGAGGTCAAGAGATCGAGACCATCCTGGTCAAGATGGTGAAACCCCGTCTCTACTAAAAATACAAAAAATTAGCTGGGCGTGGTGGTGCGTGCCTGTAATCCCAGCTACTCAGGCTGAGACAGGAGAATTGCCTGAACCCAGGAGGCGGAGGTTGCGGTGAGCCGAGATCGCACCATTGCACTCCAGCCTGGGTAACAAGAGCGAAACTCCGCCTCAAAAAAACAAAACAAAAAACAAAAACAAACAAACAAAAAAACTAACGGCTCCTCAGACTCATTAAGGTTAGGAACAACAAAATAAAGTGAATCTTGTGGCTAGTTTAGGTTGATTTTTTTTATTTGATTGAATTTTCATTCCCCCTTCTTTGTTTCCTGTTATTTTATGAATTGTTTCAAATAATGTGGATGCTATATTTTTAAACATTATTATAAATAGTTCAAACTTAGTCAAAAATATTTATTGTATATTTGTTTTTCTATCCACCTCTGAGTTGTAGGTCACAAAATAGAAAGCAGTAAGAAACTAAGTCATATAATCCGGCTCCCAATCTAATTTAATCTTGGATTAAATAGAAACATAAGGTTTATAATATATATAAACATTTATGTTTAATTACAAACAGTAATTTTTAAATAATATTTATTATAATATTTTAACTCACCTGGTTTGGAACATGTTTATTTTTGAAATAATGATTGTGAAAATAATTGCTATTAAAATTTTTATTTGGCTAATGAATTTTAAAATAAAGCATATCTTTTCTCACTCTTAGAAAATTTAACATTTTCCTCCATAATTATGAATGATACTACGTATTTTATCTATCTATCTATCTATCTATCTATCTATCATCTGTCTATCTTTCAGTCATCTACCCATCTCAGTTTCTATAGCACTAAAAGAACCTTGAGGACAGGGCCTTATGTCTTTTGTTATCCCTCGAAGTAACTGGTAACTGGTATTGTCTTGAACTTCATAAAAATGTTTACATCATATTTGTTGAAATAGATGTAATTTTAATATATTCACTTTCTTATGGTGAAATACAGTATGTCAAAATATGGCAGGGTATGGTGGCTCACGCATGTAATCCTAGCACTTTGGAAGGCTAAGGCAGGCTGATCACTGGAGTTCAGGAGTTTAAAACCAACCTGGCCAACATGGTGAAACCCCATCTCTACTAAAATTTCAAAAATTAGCCGGTCGTGGTGGTGGGTGCCTGTAATCCCAGCTATGTGGGAGGCTGAGGCAAGAGAATCACTTGAACTGAGAGGTAGAGATTGGCAGTGAGCCAAGATCACACCATTGCGCTCCAGCCTGGGCAGCAAGAGTCAAAATCCATCTCAAAAAATATATATGGATAGATAGATAGATAGAGTCTAAAGCTTCTGTATCTAAAGAATTAATATAAATAAATAACACCAAAATGATATATCTAAATTGAGAATATATATACTTTAGCATTATAGCAAATGCTTATTTTCTGAGTAGACAGCACTATTTGAAAAGTAGATGGTCTTATATCTGACCGAGATTATTTTAAATAATTATATCAGTCTGAGATTACTTTAAATAAAAAAGAGACTTTCTGTCTTACATCAGTGGATTTTATTACTTGCTTTAGGATTCTTTCTAATTTTTATTTTAATTGGTGTGAATCTTGGCAATATAAGAGACTCTTTTGAAGAAGAATTCACGAATTTGTTTTAAAAATATAAACCATTAATATTTGAATGCTGTAAAATAAAGATGTGATTTTACAGTCTTCCACTACGTATCAGTTTTACTTTAAACTTAGATTATCGAATTGCTCGGCACAATGCTGGCAGACATCTCTAGCATTTTCAGCAAATTATTAATACCTATGTATGTGTGTGCATTTTACTTACACGTAAGAAACTGTCCAAGGAACCATTCTCCATGTATTCTGTGACAATCATAACTGGCTTACCTAAATGTATAGTAAATAATAAACAGTAGATAATCAGTGCAGTTCAAAGATAATATGCAATGAAAGTATATAATGCGGTTGGATACACATATAATGTAGTTGGATACACCTCATGATTATAAAGATGTAAGAGCTTTACCTGTCTTCCAGATTTTAAAATGTTGCAACAGAAAGCCTTAGGTTTCATTAGAAAAAAAAAAACCTTTCAAAAGTCACAAAAATTGGAGATTGGTTTTCAGAACAAAGGCCCATGACCAATAGTATCTAAATTGGTTTGAGAGGCCTTTCAAAGTGAAAAAAATATGCCCCTTTCCTTTCTCTACTTAAATCTTTGCTAATCTTCAACACCAAATATTTCTGCCTTCAAGCCCAAGATAAAGTTAGGAATTTAGCATTTATTTCCTCTTTCTATGGGAATTTATATGCACTATATGTGCACATACACATATATATGTGTAGGTCTCTGTGCTGGGTATTCTCTTCATGCTACTTAGTGGGAAGTGAGTAGGTCAAAATTTCTGCCTTCATGTATTCTACACATGAGTTCTACAAAACAATTAAGATAATAATTATAATTATTTACCATATTTGAAAAACACTTAAAAATTATAAAATTAATGCTCTCTTTAAATGAAAAATACAACAAATTAAACCTGCTATTGGCAGTAACTTGTAATAACTCTTTGCAAACATGTAGCCTAAAATACCATGAAACCTTTAATCCAGGATTTTAACGTATTTATATAATAGTTACTATGTGCAAGACACTGGTGTAATTATTTCATATACATTAACATATTATTATTTTTCCATTTTACACATGAGAACACTGAGACACAGAGGTCAATTAACTTGCTGGGCATCATACAACTACTAAGCTCTAAAGCTACAAGTTGCAACCTGAATATACTGTGCTGCCACTCTCAGAAGTGATAATATATAACACAGGAAAAAATGATGGAAATATGTAACATAGGAAAAAAACATCCGGCACAAATGTGCTAAGTATACCGGATACAGAGAGCGCTAAATATAATAAATGTTTGACTACAGGTAATGATTTAGTCAATTGCATGCTATGGCTATGGGTTATTTTACATTAAAATGATGACCTGAAGACTGTAGCACTCCAGGCAATTATTACAGCTTAATAGCATGCAAAGCTGAAAATATAATTCTATATACATTAAGGTAACAACTAGTAAGATTAAGTAAAACTAACATTTTAAACAGAAAAATATCAAAAATTGATGTTTTTGATATAAAGGAAATACTGGTAATTTTTTCATGATTAGAATTGTGTAACGTTGTGTTAGGTACTCGACATTTGTTATATCACTTAATCCTCACAGCAAACTTATGCTTTAGCAAAATGCATTACTACCATTTCACTGATTCCTACCCAGGAAACTTTGTGGGTTTAAGCAACATGTTGAGATAACACAATTAGCTAGTGCAACTTGTGGAGGTAACATAATTACCTAGTAGTCAAGCAAATTTCAAACATGACTCTTTCTAATTTTAAAGCCTATACATATTACCACACTGTAATTCCCTTGCTTTATTACTATTATAAATATTATTTTAGTTATAAGTCCAGCATATGACAGGAAGGAAAATCACTCCCTTTCCAAATCCCGAAGACTTAAGTCTTACCTGATTACTGTGGAAAACTCATGAGCATACAACAGATTTTAAACAAGCATTCATGTACACCTCACTGTATAACACAATTTTAATTTTCCTTGTGTGTGCCTTATTTATCATGAGGTTAATTTGTCATTCTGAGGCTAGAAAATACCTTCTTTTTCTAGATTTTTTTCCTTTCATGTGTAAAAAAACTCTTAATTTATACAGAATGTAAATTATGGGTAAGCACATGAAGGTTACACTCATTACATCCAGCGATTTGAATACATTCCAGGAATTATGTCCAATTTATTTAAATAAACCTATTTAAATTCTATGGTTTCTGAGATAATTTTTATATATGCTACAATCACTTGATACATTGATCTATTTTCCATTAATACACTGATTTATGATTTTAAGGGATAAAGTAATATCTATCTGGTTAATACAGTAATATTTGAAAAATTGTTTCAGCCAAAACCGTGAGCCTGCAGAACTTGCTTTTTCAAAATTCTAACTAAACTTTCATTCAAAAATATTCAGAAAGAAAGGGAAGAGTCACCATTTCCTTGGAAACTTAGATCTCTCCTGAACTAGTATCAGATCCCTAAAGACTGATTGATTCTAGATTCCTGGCCTGAAATGAAATGAATGAGTAAATGAATAAATGAATAAAATCCTGCATATGGGTACTCTCTACAGATCAGCATCAGTTTCTGTCTTCCTTCTTTCATACAGTGCTGGGAGGAATGATACGTTACCAAAATTCAATGCATACTTTAAATGCAGTCACAGATAATTTGCCTCACACCGCCAACTCTCAATATCATTGGCCAGTTACTGCATTTTTATACTACTCAGACCTTTGCTTATCACTCCTTTCCTTCTGGCACCCGGCCCTATGACCATTTCATTTCTCATTAGCATGTCTAGAGGAATGCTTGGGAAGGGAAATAAAAGTAGCTGAAAAATCAAACCCGTCAATTAAGTCAAAGCCCCATGACCATTGAGAAATCAGATCAGCCCGCTTTACCTCTATAATTCAGGTATTTGTAAACACATGAGTTAAGATGCGCAAGTCTCAAAATGTGCTTTGAATCATGTTCAAAGATTCTGAAAACCAAATGTACAAAAAGTAAACAGAATCACAAATATTCTACCTTGGAAAACAGTTCCTTGACTTAGAGTTTCCCTTGTGATTTTGATTATGATAAATAGGGTTAAAGAAAAAGAGATTTCAGTAGTGCTGAGAACTAGTTCTAAGATGAAATTCAATGTGGTGGGAAATCATTTATAAAATGCCAGCTCCTCGGCACATTATGCCATGTATTTGTACTCAAGGCTGCATTCTCTTTCATGTGTATTTTGATTTACACATGGCATGATTAGCTTCCTCAAGACAAAGTATGTATCATTCGCTCCTCTCAGAAGCCCCCAAACACATCTGGGTTTACATTCTAAACTCAATGAAAGTACTGTTCTATGACTTGCTGAAATGAAACCATTGAAAATGAGCAAAACAAAATTTGCAGTGAAGTTTTGCTTTTGTTCTTAAATTGATTTATGAGTATAGATAAAATGGTGATCTTTCACAATTGTGGAGGAAAGGGAAGCAAATCAGTCTGTTAGAATCAGTTCATTTACCCAGCTACCCCAGTGGCTCAGAGCTATTACTAATCATTGAATTGCTGCTTGATGACAGAGAAATATGATTCAAAATATCTAAGAATTTCAGATTTAGTGCCAGCTCTTTTACCACAACTTTCTTAATCATATGTTTTATAAAAAGAGAAGTGGGATAATGGGAAATATGTGCATGTATAAAAATATTTACATATACATAGAGTCAGCCCTAAAAATATTTTCTTAGGAATTTTCGGACAAATTTTGATTTTTAGATTAAAATAGTTTCAAACATAAACTGTTTATCATATATTGAAACATTACAAAATATTTACATTTAATAATTTCCAATAGAAATGCTATTAACTCCTATTAACAGCAGTAATTGTGTCTAGCCCTCTACATCTTATTTTCAGAAGAATTAAACACACTCTAAAGAGGGTAAATTATAAAATCAAAGCCTTTGACCTTAGCAGCTGGCACTCTACATAATCAATGTCAGGATGGAAGAAAAAAAAAAAAGCACACACAAGAGATAGAAAGTTGAAAAAAATTGGCAAAATTTGCCTATTTCCAGGAAAGAAGACTTGGATCATCTCTGATGAGAATTAAAAATGTTTTCTATATTTTCACACATTACACCTAAGTGATAAAAATGTTGTAATGAATATTGAACTGAGATATTGAAATGAAATATTGAACTGACTTAGGATATTTTTCTGTGAGTTTCTCATTAAATTATTATAAAAGGACAAGGCAATGTCTTCCAAATTCCATTTTAATCAAGACATTATTCTGCTAAAGTGAACCCCTGTTACATCTATGAGTTAATGAGAGCAGAGACCAAGTCCATTTGTCTGTAGTTCTAAATCCAATGTCTAACAGTGTGCCAGTTACAAATGACCCAGTTAGGTCTGTAACTTCAGACAGGCTAAGGATAATCCCTCTCTTCAAAATCAGGATGAGAAAAGCTTTCTCCAAGACTTCCTTAACCAGCCCTAGTCTATCAATCCTAACACATTGAATCTTTTACATTCGGCTGCTTTAAAAATATTTATATTTACACGGGGTCCGCAGTGGCTCCGGCCAGATGTCCTGGTGCTTGAGGAGGTGAGGCCATGAGTTCAAGGCCAACCTGAGCAGCGTTACAAGCTCTCATTCATTAACAACAACAAAAAAAATTATATTTATTTATGCTTAACTTGAAATAAAATTTAACATCTTCAAAGATAACAACTAATTTGCTGACCCTTATGCCAGTTAGAACTGAGTCATGCAGTAAGTGCAATATTCTAAGTCACACACAAGCGGAATGAATGTATATAGTACTCTAAATATGCTGTTTGGTTTTATAAAAAGTTTTTTTTCTCTCCTTTCCAAGTTCTTTACTCTTTATTTATTTGCTTGTCTAATTTGAAACACTTATTTTTTTTTAAAAAAAACCAGGATTTCAAGAATATCAGTGAAGATTGTCATTATCAGCCTGTTCAAAATAATGCAAATAATGGAGATGATTTATTTGTAAAAACCAAAAAAAGTTCACAATTTCCTGTATGATATTAAATTGAAATAATAAAAACAGGCTTTTTGTTTTTACTTGAAAAGAAATGCTTTTAAAATTTTACTATTAAATGTGACATTTATAGTTTTATTTGGGGGCTGTTTGCATACAGGGATACATATTTTCTATGTCTGATGTGCTAATAAAAAAATTAAAATTAAAATAGTTGTTTATCTTTTGCATTTGTTAAGACTGAGTTCTCTTCTTACCTATTAATGTTATAAGTTTTTAGAATTGTTAAATACAGAACCAAATATTCATACTTGGAGGAAACCACACTTTGGAAATGATGTAGTATCTTTTTTGACACATTTTTGGATATGGCTTCACAATTGTTCCAGTGTTATTAAATTTTTGTTTGTGCATTAAATTAATCTGTTATAGTACCTTTTGATAAGAGTTGTATAATTTGGTATCAAGATATTCCTATCCTCAGGATTTAGAGGTGATACTTTTCCTCCCTTTCTGCAAAGGTTGTGTAAGACCACAGTTACTCGGACAGCTACTAAACTAGTGTATTATATTTCTTTTTCTTTAGAAGATTTACTATATGTTTAAACTCATGCTCTATAAAAGCTGTCTCTGGGCACATGCAAGTAGTGCTCTAAAAAAATTTGTAGGTTGATCTTAATTTTTCAGAAATATCAGAAAACCCCATCCTATCCACATAAATGAGGAAAATACTTAATGCCACATTTTTAGGAGTCAAAATGGACAATTCATCCAAGGCACACAGTGGACAGTGAAGAAGAAACAACAAAAGCTGTTTAAACATGTAAAAATAACGTTTTCCATTTCATTTTTTGGAATACACTGAGCAGAGATTTTTGTAATTGTGTTGATGTGGTTACTTTGACAGGTATGCTCTGAAATCATTTAACAATCTGCAGTCAGAAATGCAGGATAACACTTGGATTATTAGAATTTTCAAAATCTGTCATCTTAACAAACTCTTTCTGTAAATTACTAGTAAAATAAGTTCAACGTAATGTGTTGTCTTTTAAGATGACATGACGTGTAGTACCCTTTAGATAAATGCAGAATATTTTGAGAGAGAAGCAAACAAAAAATAACTAGAATTTGGCATTGTTACTAAATGATGACCTCTTACCCCAGACATGTGTCCTTACCATACATACAGGAGATGAGGCACGTGAAAGCCAGTGGCTAAGCTTTGGGTGAAAGTGGATATTCACGCCAATATAGATAGGTTTTAATGATGAAAATCATCTTAATATTCTGCTCATGACATTCTTCAATAATGCAAAGCTACAGTTAAGTTGCGTCATAATTTTTAAAAATTTCCTGAAAATAATGCAAGTCAAAATACATTAATCTCATGCAACATAATTCCTTCTATTTCACTAGGTGAAAAGTGGCCAATGGGAAGGTGTTCTTGGCATCTGAACATTATTTGACTAATGGTGTGATGGCAGAAATATCAAACATTTGCTAATAACAGGTTCCATCCTTTAGAACTTCAGCTAAAATTGATACCACATGTTAGTACCTCGGTCTGGGTGGAGCCTGTGCCCCCAGCTTTCTGCTACTTTGAAGATCACAGACCCTCTCACCTTCTCCTATTTAAGACCATCAGGCTCAAAATGTAACATTAAAATTGCTTGTGGTTAAATTCAAATAAATGAAAATATAATGATTGGAAGAAAAAGCTTTCTGTAAATGATTTTAAAATGATACACTCTATTAGACCTAGTGTTTCAAAGCACACAATTGAATAACAATAATAAACAAAATTATCTTTGAGAAATACAAGAATTATTTTCAAGAATTTCTTTTCTATACATCCAGATTGACTGGTAAAATCCCAAAAAACCAGAGGAGTAATTTAGAACTACACCATTCTTTGCCACTTAATATATTCTTATGCAATCTTATTTGATCTTTAGTATCTGAAAATATTAAAGTAGTACTTTTTAGTCTCCTGTTACAAGTGAAGAAATTAGTATCTGTAAATTGTTTGATTTGCAGTTCTCAGAGCAGTAAAGTTGTTTCATAACTTGAACTCAGATCACTGATTCTTAATCTAGATATTGATATGCCTGCTGTTAAAAATACTATTTTGTTCATTAAATTATAAGCTCTGCATCACCTAAGTGTTTGTGTGTGTGTGTGTGTGTGTGTGTGTGTATAGATGTGCTTTCTGAACTCTGCAGGTAGATTGTTTTAGAAGTCTCAAGTAACAAAGAGGACAACAGCAGTAGAATAAATAGCTTCTTTAGGAGACAAAATTGCTCTGTGTGTGTGTGTGTGTGTGTGTGTGTGTGTATGTGTGTGTGTGTTAAATACAACATATCAACTTTACTGTAAGGAGTTTCGATTTCCTTTCAGATGTTACAGGGTGCCAGACTTAGAGCTTATAAATATGCCACCAAGGAGTTCAAAACCTAATTCTAGGGCTACTACTCTATTATGTTTACAATATATGAGATGACTGGGATTTATACAGTCAGATTTGGCAGCTTCTTACATGCTTATTTGACCAGGGAGATATATCAAATTTAGAACTCTCACTCTAAGAATAAGGGAGTTGAAATCCCTGTTAGAATGTTACAGAGTCAGGCTTGAATAAGATGTTTAATATATAATACCTGCAATTTCTAAAGGTCATCTTAGTGTATTCTACATTTTTTGTCTTAGAGACTGTTTCATAGATTTTGTTGTCAGGTTACTATACTCTATATTTAATTGTTTTAGTTTTTTTATCTAAACAAAATTTGCCGCAATATTTCTAGTTTAATGCTACTTATCATTCAGTAAATGCATTTGTAGGAAACAGGAAAATACAATGAGTGGCTTTCAGTAATTCATGCGACTGAAAACAAGAAATCATCCCATGACTGATAAAATAATAGATCTTATTAGTGAGCTTAAACTAAAACCTAACATTTGTTTGACAGTGACTTTTAACTCATTCATTTCTTAATTACACATGTTAAAGAAGTTAGTGTATGAATCTGTTCAAGCTAAAGATCTATTGTTAGAAGATGTTGTTGTTTCTTCCCTCCCTCCCTCCTTCCTTCCCTCCCTCTCTCCCTTCCCTTTCCTTCCTTCCTTCCTTCCTTCCTTCCTTCCTTCCTTCCTTCCTTCCTTCCTTCCTTCCTTCTTTCCTTCCTTCCATTCTCCCTCCCTCCTTCCTTCCCTCCCTCTCTCCCTCCCCTTTCCTTCCTTCCTTCCTTCCTTCCTTCCATCCTCAATCAATTTTTTTTTATTTTCAACATTGGTAAATTAAGTACCCATTATTATCCAGGATTTATTTTAGCCACTCATCATCGAATAACATGGATTCTTGCCTTCTTTGAGAGTTTATATTTTGTTTTAGATATTAAGAATCATTAATAGCTCCAGAAATTTTTGAGGGCTGAGGAACATCTCGCTATCAACATGTCGTTAGAGAAGATTTTTAAAGTAAGGGTACAAAAGAATAAGTAGAATACAGGAAAAGACAAGTAGGAACCTGTTTCGGTCCAGAGTTGGGGATAGAGGTGAAATAAAAAGAAGTTCCCAATGCTACCTCTAGCACTTTCTAGTTATACAAGCTAATTACCCTTTACAGTTAGTGTTTATTCGAATGCAAATGAGAAATGATCATGTCTAACTCACAGGTAGTGTTAAGAATGAAATAATATCATAGTATATTGTGGGAACATAGTAGATACTTCCTAATGAAAATCTTGTAAAAATGGAGAGTTAGAAGGATGACTGCCTAAGTATAAGGGAGTTTTTTCTTCCCAGGAGGCCCAAGAGCTAAAAGGCAACCACTTGATGCAGATGTAATGAAGAACATTAAAAGGCTAAATGACATTGAAATCCCAATGAGACATGATACTATAACTGTATATATAGATATAAAAGAGCATAACCTTGCTAAGAAAGAACAAAGGATTCATATATTTTCCCAATCCTTACTACTTATGCTCGTTTTTTATTACTTATTAATTTAAAATTTAAAAATTTATCAGAAAATATTTTGATTAATGTGACCTGGTTTTATAGAGTACATAGGCAAAAATAAAATAAATAAAAATTCTTATAGGAATTAATGTTACAATATACAGTTGAACTATTCCACATTGTTAAATTCTTAATCCCACTTTTTATATACGAAAACTGAAAAAGAAACCAAAGTCTATTCCAATTAAACCATGCTCTCATGAGGAAGGAAATGCCTTTTTAATCACACTAAAGTGAGAATAGGTATCAGTGCCATTTGGAAAACGCTGTCTATAATGTTAAGGAGAATTATCATTGTGAAAAGTATGTCTGTTGGTAACCATAGATTATGTAAATGTCTTGCCAATGAATTATCCCCTAAAGGATGCCAAATTTCCTGCCATATGTTGTCTTTCACTCTAAAGAGTCTGCTGCCAATTTTGCTTATTCTTCATCTTGTGCTCCAAAATCTTGAGGAAAAATGTCCCAGAGCATTCTCAGAGGCTTTTATAGGAATTGGAGCCAAAAATCACAGATCTGCCTCACAGGATCCCTTCTGAGCTCTGCTGGAGAAATCATCACTGAAGTAAGTTCACATCTCTATCATGGGCTGGGAGCCAGGGCATCCCCAGAGCAGTCAAGAAGCCACCTAGGTTCCTAGATCAGAACTATTTGAAACCCACAGAGAACCAACAAATGGCCTTGAATCTATTGTGATTCCTGTCTTTACAGCTCAGAAGCATTTCCTAGAGCCCCATATTTTCCTGAAAGCAGGGATGCAGAGGGTGGGAGGAGCTTAAAGATTTGGAAACTTAAATGAAGCCGATGAACAATAAAAGAAAAGGCAGCTAGCTGGGAGCTCCTGTCAAAGTTGAGTCGCTGTTTTTCTTTGCTACTTACATAGCTGAGAGTTCCCCACAATTCTCTTTTTAACCATCTGCTAACCAGTGTACCTTTCAATCATCTAATGTGTAGCTTCTAATTGTTTTTAAAAACAGTTTGAGGTCTAAAATAGTACTGTCAATAGAATACTATTTAAATGTCTGCTCTATTGTCAAAGAAAGGCATGTTATTCCTAAATTAGTCTTTTTGGTAAAACTGAGACACTTACGAGAAAAGTCAAAATTGTTAAATGGTTGGGGTTAGATTAAAACAACCTTTGGTCAACGTAAACAAATGCAGGTCTCATGACACTTACTTTTAGTAACAACTCCCTCCAGTCTAATGATATTCGGGTGGTCAAACTGTCCCATAATACTCGCTTCTCCCAGGAAGTCTCTCCTCTGCTTTTCCGTGTAGCCCACTTTCAGGGTTTTGATGGCCACTGAGATCTCTTTTTTTGAAGGAAGTTTTAAACGACCACTGCACACCTCTCCAAATTCACCTGTTATAAAGCAGAACAACAATAACTGAATGCAAGGAATTATAGACTACAAATTCATCAGTAGACAGCAACTGTTTTCTTTCAGAAATTCATTTAAACTATTTGTGCCTTTGACCTGCAAGCTGTACACTGTAGTACTCCAAGTTACTTTGAAAGAGAATAATATGAGCCTGCCTAGAAAACCTCAGGATAATCACACCCTGTTGGAAAATGAAGCGTGTGAAAGCCCCATACATTTTAAAATATGGCACAATAAATAATGCAATGTAAAAGAAGAGATAAGTTGAAAGCTGCGTATATTCCATTTTTTTCCCCTTGTTGTCATAGCTACCACCACCTCAGAGAAATTAACAGGACAGCACAAACAGTGGTTAAATGTGAGCACTGGATTAAATTTCAGATATTTTAACAATCCTGTTTTTACTGAGGGCCAATTTGGCTATATATTCTGACTCTAAAAATGAGAGTGAAAGCATCTGCTATGAATTTATTTTATTGGAGTATTGGTGTGTTGCATTACTAACATACCAGCTATAAAGTTCTCTGGGCTTCTGGAGGACAACAAAATAGCAGTATCAGATAGAAATAACATGTCTTACCTAAATAATTACTGCAGAAATATTTTAGATTCATCATCTTCAATCTAAAAAGTCTTAAATGTGCAAGTCACTCAGAATTTGTCAAATATAGAGTGTAACTGACTTTTAAATATTATAGTTCAATTGATATAAAATTGCCTAGAACTATAGACACTGCCTCCAAAATACATTTTTACTGAAAGATTTACTCATCACCCATTCATTAGATTGGAGCTCCCTTGGAGCAAAGACCCTTTCCATCTATTTCTCTGTAACTGAGCTGCCACGTAGGAGTGCTATACAGTATGCTCTTTGTTCACAGAAGAGCTTCTAACATAGTAGGGATTATCAGATATGTTTTGTGACACATTAAAAATAGTTTTTAGTATCAAATGAGCTTTTCCTGAAATATTTTAGAATTAATTATGTGATTTTTTTGGCTTTTGATGGAGTGGAATCATATTCTTGGTCCAATTTTCTTACTGTGAGTTTTCTATGATCTTCATGCCCTGTCAGTCAGATTGAAGTGATATGATTCTTCCCTATTTTTGTTTTCAAGCAAGTGGTTTGACCCACAAAAGTAGCAGGTTGTGATACTGACTTACCAACTACATGACTAGAAATGGTGTGTCTCTCCCCAGGGAGCTTTAACCTTCCCCAGGCTTGACTTATTCCCAGAAATCCATTCTTACTCTTTTCAAAGCAATGACTTATGCTTTAACTTAGTAACGTCACTTAAAATCCAAAAGCAGACATTCATGCACTTATTTAATAAATTTTCATACGGGCAACAGTATTGGAGACAGTATGAAACACACAGAGATGGATATAATGGTAAACAAGGCAGGGATGCTATATTCCCTTTGAGGTAATGATATCTGCAGCTACAGTGTTCCTTAGGATACAGAAAGGATCTGGGAGTGGAACTTGAGAAAGTTCATCGATCTTGCTAATTCTAAGGAAGAATATGCCATTTAGATAGGGGAATACTAGGAAAAGAGAAGTTACGGTGTGATGAAAATTTTTCTTAGAATTGTAACAAGAGTAAGAGTTTCTTTCCTTATACAGTTATCTGAACTTTATCAGAGAGCTCCCATTCTCTTTGTTTCACTTACTGTAAACACTAAATTTGGGAAAACCAGAAAGTTCTGCCATTATCATAGGTCAATATGATCTGATAGAGCATGTTTTAAATTTAGATGTTATCACCACATATTCTAAGTGATATGTCACTTGTCAGTTTACAGAAGTGATAGTACAGAACTCTGGTTAAGAGCATGGATCCTGGAGCCAAATTGCCTAGGGTCTAATTCTGACTCCGCCACATAGTAGCTGTGTGATTTTAAGTAACTTAACCTCTCTGTATCTATCTTTTCTCATCTCTATGGGGACACTAATTTTATCTATCTTACAAGGCCATTGTGGACTTAAAGGAATTACTGGTTGTAAAGCATTGAAACAGTGCCAGACACACAGTAGGTGCCATGTAAGTGTGGATCACTATTTATCTTACTGAGTTCAGACTCACCTGAAGGATAAATTGTCTAACCATTATTTAGAGTTTTTGTTAAAATCAAATTGACAAATGACCATGAAAGTGCTTTATAAAATGCCAAATTATATGTTATTGTAAGAGATAGTTATGGTAATGATGGTGATAACAAGGCTCGTGTCTTACTGAACAAATATTTGTAAAGGAGAGAATTCTAGGGATATAAAAAGAGTTCAAACTTTAAATGAGCCAATTAAGAGTTCTCTTTGTTGTAAGTGGGACACCTGGACACATAAATATGTACATGTATATATTTACCTTCAAAATTCCTGAAAATTGTGTTTCAGCGATGCTAATTTCTAAAAATCCCCAAATTTAGTAATGTGATGATTTCATCAGGTAAACACTAGAAACAGCCACCAATATATTATAAAAGACACAGAAATGCTAAATATTAATTCAATTATCTTTTAAATAATTTAAAATAACTGCATTGGGATAGCAATGATATCCCAGCAGTTTATATGACTAAAAAGATACTAAAAATTCACAGAAGAATTGTATACTTAAACAGGTGAGCTTTATGGTTGGTAAATTATATCTCAAGAAAGTTGCTAAAAATAGAAAAAGATTAAAAGATAAAAAATAAAAGTTAACAAAGACAGGGCAAACACAGTTTTAATCATTTCATCTAGCCAAGTTTTACATTGTCTTATTCAATTAACTTTGCACCAATACAAAAGAAAATTTAGATCTTGTCATTTCTTGATAAAGCATAGCTACTAGATCTTGACTTTTAAAATCTAATAAGTAGAGCAATTTTTATTTGCTCTTTGAAGTAGTTATGCTTTATGAGAATGGGACTGTATTCTGATTTAAGATGCAAAATGTAAAAGCTGCTCAAAATAAAATTTCTTATACTAATTTCATTTAAAGAAGAAAAAAAAAGACTACTTTTATTTAAGTAAAATGACCTCCTCCAGCACTAGTCTTAAAGCCTACCCTCCTTCTACTATTGTAAGAACGTAAGCATAATAAAAATACATACTGAAAAATGCTTCCATATCAGCTAATTCTCCTACATGAATTATCTTGTTTACTCTCAAAAAACTGCTATGAAGAAGACACTATTATAAACTCCAGTGTCCAGCGTGAGCTTTGAAGTTGGAAAGCACAAAATTCAGTTTTTGGTTTCATATTTGATGCAAACAAGTCTATTCAAATTCTCAGCTCTTGTTTATTCATGTGCTGATATGGAGATACTAATATCGATCTAAAAGGGATAATAAGACTAAATATCAGGGGAATGCCCAGAATAAATTAAGGGTTTAATAAGGATTTACTTCCTTCAGAAATGTTTAGTATTTAATTGTTGAAAGAATGCTTGGATTGAGGAAGGAAATTAGGAATTGTAGTTATGAATTTGTCACTAATAGTAATTAATAGTACTACTGTGATAAGCTAATTCATGTCTCAGTTTTATCATTTACAATATAGGTATAATTCTTCCTATAGTCCAATGTATACATGAAAGTTTCTGTAACATCAATTTATTTATGTAAAATTTCTGACATAAAATTAAGAGAATTTGCATATATATATATATTCTTTCTGTAAATAGTTATTAATCAATTTAGAATAATTATTAAAGTTTTATAAATAAATTATTTTTAAAATTAACAAAACTGTAGGAAGTAGGTAAATGTATATATCAAATAAGGTTGGCATTTGTCGATTGTTATGGAAGCTATTGTAGAAATTAGTAACATACAGGTTTATTATCATACTATTTATTTGTGTATGCATTTTACATTTTACAAAAAAAAAATTAACAAATTGGTAGCTTTTAAGAATAATGATTTGTGAAGACAAACCCTCTGCAGGTTAATCAAGGCAGTCTAGAATGGCGTGTGTACATTATATTGAATTCTCTCAAGAAAAATATAACCAACCTTGAGGATACACCTATTTGCAAATTAAATAAGCACAGTTTTATTGTTCTTAATGTGGTAAATGTGAATATTGGCTGCAAAACCCTGAACATGGGCATATGTCTTATAGTTTACAAATATACTTGAAGACAGAAATAGGCAGGAGTCTCTATTAGAATCTTTAATGAGCATGAGGGATTAAGGTATTCAGTATAAATAGACCTCCCCTTATGTCATTTATCAGCTCCTATTTTTCGTGGTATGCTTTGTCTCAATCACCATCATCTGGATATCTGAGTCTGTCAGTATTATCTAAATAAAACATCTTTTACCAATGGAGAGGTACCTAAATTTCAACATTATAATAATGTCTGTCTGGCTTCTGGACAGTGGCTTAGCATAAGTAACTTTTTCCTCCTTTCAACATATTCTCCAGTTGAGCGTTCAAAATCCTGTGCTGCATTTACTACTGGAGCCCTCATGCTGGAGAAAGTGTACTCTTGTGGGGAAACATTAAAACCAGCCAGACTAAACCCTTCTGCATCATGGAGCTGCTCACAAATCAGGACTGCAGAAATAAATCAGGGTAAACAATATCTATCTGTTTTGGCACTGGATCACCACAGATGTACAGCGAATATGCTTACTCTCAAGTCTTAGATTGTGAAAAAGAAGTACCTACTCCATTTTCCTTCTGTGAACACAAGTTTCATATTTTAATATTACCTGCACATGTACATTTTAGGATAAGAAATTAGGAAAATCAGAAAAGAAGCTCTAGAAAATTATTATTACATTTACATCCTAAGAATAATAAGACTGTCCTGGTCACATAGTAACTACTCCTTGATTTTTCAATATGACTTTGGTGTATAGAAAAAGAAACACAGAGCATTTCATATACATTTTTATAAAGACCATCACCCATAAATATATAATTATAGATAGTGCTTGCAGAAAATGTGATCTGATGTTACACAAAATTCAGTGCGTTAATTTTTCTGTCTTTCACTCTACCTCCCATATTAACGTAACAAGTGTATATTTGTTTTGGGAGTGATGTTGAAGGATCAGTTCATGGTATGAAATATTTTATTGCTGCGCATGCTTAATTTTTACTTTCGAATAGTAGTTTTATCCCCATGTTTACCGCATATATTATGGATGACCATGTGTTTTGTGTAAGTGTAGAAAATACTGTTATTTTATAAATATGTGAAATTTTTCTTATAAATATGCAACTGTGATTAATAATCATTTCATAGGTGATTGTTAATGAAATTAATATTGTTTAAATTAATAATTAGAACAAAGAGATACCTTTATATTAAAAAAAAGCTTTAACACAACAAGACTATTCAAAGTCAAGCAAGCATTAAAATGGAGCACTTTATGCTATTTAAAATATCCACTCAAGACAGTTGTGATAAAATTTGTGTAAGACGAGTCATAATTATATTTTGTCTTCTTGTTCTTTTAATTCAAAAATGATTTTAAAATTGATAATCAAAACTTTTAATTACCCAGCTTGTCTAAATTGAAAGACTTTTAACCAGTTATCCTTACTTAGCCAAATACGCGGTGTGAGACATGATCAGCACAGCTATGGGAAGATGGAGTTGTTTGTTGCTGCCGTCACATCAGAAATTTAACAAATGAAAAGCAGCCATAGTCTGTGCGTCAGTAAGTCTGGCAACTTTGGACTCATTCCATTCCATTATATACTGCATTTATTTATTACTCGCCTTTGATCATGAAATCAGAAATTTCCCATTTCCTTAGCAATGTACCTAGGTTTCAGAGACTAAATAATCTTAGGTAGCATTTTTATTCATAGTTGTAAACTTGTGATTCCCACACAGACGTGGGCAGGAGGGTCATTGTGGTTACCTGCTCCAACAACTTTATCAATGGATATGTTCGTGGCATCCAGTTCCTTGGCAAACTCATGAACAGCTTGGGTAGGGTCTTCGTATGTATGTGGGTCAACGTAAGTCCTGAGACCTGGAAGTTTTACTGTTTGAGGAAAGAAAGAAAGGCACGATTGTAGCTAGATTCATAAAAACAATTATAGATAGAGTTTTATGACATTATTGGTTAAAAAAATCCCCACCCCAGAAAGGTGCACAAACTTCCGCTTATTCTGTATTATCACAGAAACTGGCAGTGACATTGGACCAAGCATTGAAAATTTTAAGAAAACAAGTTCTTTATAATGAATTATACAAAGGAACCACAATGAGGAGTTTTCTTCGCAAAAAAACCAGAAGGAAAATGGGTATTTAAGAAGGGGGATCTTAGGAAGAAAAATGATTCAGAATTGATTAGACATAGTCATTACTACCAGGAGCAATCGTGACTAAACACCATCATGCTATTGCATATTTATGGTTGCACAAATGTTATAATAACCAGATATCTATTACAACCCAAGATCTGAAAATAATTCAATACCTTTATAAGGTGAGATAATGGCTACAATTATAGGTAAATTAAGGATATAAAATGGCATACCTTCTGACACTATACTGCTTATATTAACATTCATAATCAAAATCTCCCACTGCAATTACAGACCTACTTTAAGCTGTTAGTATGCAGATACATGTATGTATTGTGTACACACACAAATATAGTTCAACATAATCATATTGTGTAGCTTTACAACATAATTGGAGGCAAAATAAATATTGTGTATGAGTTTAATAATGACACTAAGGAGCTTGGTTCCAAACATAAGTCATATATATAATTTATTAAATAAAAATGTCTTCCATATTGCATTTATTCATTAAATTATTCAGAAGGTAAAAATGTTCGTATCCTGTAATTAAAATATTACAGACAACTGATACAGGAGAATCATTTTAGATTTGATTATACATTAATAAGATTCTTATAATTTGGAAAAATAACAGTGGAGACAATTTGCTATTTTTCAATAAACTAACTTTCTCTGAACAAAAACCCTGAGTTTTTAAAAACTGACTCTAAGATCTGCTAAAGTAAATAAACATGCTCCAACATTAAAGGCAATTGCAATGCAACTCCCATGGGATGTCTACTACTACCACTGATTTTGTTTTTAATTTTGGTAACATTCATAACACTGTTTTGGCACAGAATATGGATACTTAATAGTGAAATCTTTTTCATTCATTACGTTAGATTATTGAGTTTTTTCTAATATAACAAATGAAACCAGATACTATTGTTCCAGTAACACTTCATGGGCGAATCTTGTTGGCAAAGTCTCAATTGAACACTTTGTGTGAACCAATCATTTCTTTGAGTTAGTTTTGTAGTTTGTGTTAAATAGGTGTGGAGACTGCAGATGCCAGCAGTTTTTCTGGGAAGCCTCAGTACAATGAACATTAGGGCAACAAGTGGAGGATTTCACAGTATGTGTTAACAAATGATCGATTCATCCAACTACAAGACAACTTCACGAAACTCATAGTTAAATTCATTGTAATGTATGTTCCTGTGAAGCTTTCGTAGAGATTTTCAGTAAAGAAACATCAATGTAAGAACAAATTGGTTACAGAAGAAACCGTGTCTGGGAGAGAGGTTAGGTAAAAACTCTGTTTTCCTCAGCTATTATTTGAATGACTTTGACACAGCATGATAGGAAGCAAGGATGGCAGTGAGAGCGCACAAAGAGAATGCGGAAGAAAATCTAGCAGGACTCCAACTTCTGCCTGGTGCGGATACAGCCACAGCAAGAGCAGCTGCTACGCAGCTTGAGGCGGGGTGTGGATGATGTGAAAGACACCACCAGCTAGGAAGTCAGTATCCACAGAAATGGGGAAATGCAAGTTTTGTCCCTTGCTTTGGACAAACTCTTGAGGGTGTCTTCAAACCTTTGAAGACAGAACTTCCCTTTTAGAGTTTCTCATCTTGAATATCTTGGCAAAAACGACATGCCAGGGCTCTGAGAACAAAACAGATGCCAACAAATGCCCACCTGGAGGGATTGGTATAGTCCCACTCAATACTGATAGAGCTCATCGCCCTAATTAGTGTTTTCATTGCTAAGAGCATGTATTTATGATTATTAATATCACTGAGGTTTTCTAATGGTAGAGTTTAAGTTCACAAATGCCCATTTCTTCAGAGCTCACAGATCAGTTCACATGCTTCTTCCATAAAAGCATAATTCCTTCCTATAAACACAGCTGAGAGAGCCACCCTTGCATGTAGAAATCTGTGCTTTACTATCACATTAAAATGACTCCTAACATCGCTAGTACTAAAACTCTTTACCTTCAAAAGGAGAAACTTTCTTTAAGATTAAGGAAAAGGTATCATACTTTTCTAGATGTGGAGTAAGAAAAACTGTAAAAGTAAGTAACCATTACTAAAATATGTTAGGAAATAAAGTCTTGCTGGAATCTTTTCATTTTAATATGAAAACTTATATCAGATCAGCCCTATAAGGTGCGATTTTCCAGTTTTTATTTGCCCTTACTTTGTAACAGTAAGGTAAAGAAATCTAGCAATCCTTTCCAAGGAAATAAAATGAGACTTTAAACATCAGGTAAAATGGAACTGTTTTGTACATAATTACAACTGCTTTACCTCGCTGAAGTTAACAAAATTAATTTAGGAGAGACTTCCTGGCATCAGAATTTACAAAGATTATAAAATGAGTTGTTAGGAACAATGTCTCACATATTTTAAATAAGCATTTGCCTTAAAAAGCCTTGAAATTGTGATTTATATGTACCCTTCAGGACCAGTTAGCCTGTGGAGAATATATGTATGATTAATACCTATGTGTAATACTGCTATTACTAGACAATCTGAAACTTAAATAATCATCCCCAAATAAAATCAGTCCTATTCATTGCTGTTAATTAAAATAAGGTGAATTTCTTTTCCATCCATAAGACATTTGGGGAAAAAAATACCAAACATAAACATATATACCCCCAAGTAAAATAGTCTGTTCACTGTGGAAGCATTGGCTGTTGATTTTTAAATGCTGACCCCAGAGATTTCAGGAATCAGGTGATTCAGGCTGCAAGGCACATAATCCCTTCACACCAATAATTAAGGGCAACATACAGGGTAACTGGGCTCTGTCATGAAAACCAGATAATAAACACGTGCACACGTGTTAAGCTGCACTACTTTACAGCTCGTTCTGTGCAAACACAATAATTTACATTTCCATTTTACCAGCATGAGTTGCCCTAAGGATAGCAAAGAAGTAAAAAGGCCCAGCCAGAAAGGGCAAGGGGACAGGATCTTAGGAGGTGAAACACATTTCTTTCCTTTTGAAGCAATATTATAGGATTTGTAACAAGGCTGGAGGGAACAGTTCGTAGCTAAAGCTTTTTAACGTAATACCAAATAAATGGTCTGAGATAAACCAGCTGTAGTTTTAAGAGGCAGAAAGTTTATGATATGCATATAAGTTACTTTATGCCTTTGCAATCAGGATGAAATGCCTTGCTTTTTTGTTTTGCCATAAGGATACCGTGCATTTGAAGAAAAATTAAACTTTCAACAAAATCCACCATAAAAACAATAACAAAACAGGCTGGGACATTATAGAAACCTGCGTAATAATTGACACACAGAAATCTACCAAAGCTACAAATTCATAAGACTTACAGTTTCCATAAAAACTTAAAATCAGTACAGTGTTGGTCTAAAGATGATATTTACAACAACTGTCCAAGTCAAACGAAGGGTGACTTAATCCACAAGAATTCCACTGCTCTCATTTATGTATAGAAATTGTAACAGAGGTGCTTTGTGGGCCCACTGAGAAAAAGAAAGACAAGTATCCTGAAACTTGTTCCGACATTCTCTTTAGACTTCTGAGGTGGTCCCCTAATTAATCTGGACTGAGGTGATACTGATTTTAGGAATCAGCAGCTTGGCTTTTTGTGTGAATTATTCTGTATAGAGCTGTAGTGAGATGAGCAAAACCATGCCCTGCAAACTCTTTGCTGCTTTCATCTCATGTCGATTCGTGTTTGGAAAGGCATCGTTTCTTCAAGCTCCTGTCTGCTGCGTTGCATGTTAGCAACAGGTAGTTAAGTATTTTAGTGAAGCTGTAACTATCATTTTTAGCCAATAATTCGATGGCTGATACAAATTAGCATGTTGATTTGCAAATACTTTTAGAAGAAAACAGTGAATACTAAAGAAAGAATTGCTTAAGAGACTACATTAGTTATACCGAGATTACTTTAGAGCACATGAGCATGAGTGCAATCTTCGTCCTAATTTCCATGAGAACATGCTATTTAAGCCACTGATTAGTAATTGCCACGGTAAACTGAGCCATAGTTTGGAAAAGCAAAACACCTGGAATGATTCATTTCACCAGAAAAACAACAACAACAACAAACCTTTTTGTTAGCTGTAAACACTTTGTTTCCTAAATGTATATTTAAAAAAAAATTAAAAGGATAAATTAAAACGTGAAGAGAAAGTTCTGGCTTTGCTACTAGTTGGGTATCATGTAACGGCAAAATAAACAGTTTATTTTAAAGACTCTTTCTAGGTTGGTTGATAAAATGGAATAAGGCACTTCACATAAACGGACGTTGTTTATATTTACTTGACAGTTAGGAAAGAGAAAAGTCTCCCATTTAGAGTTTAGCAGGGGACTAGTAATAAGGAAATTGAAGACACGCTTTGCATTTCAGCCCTGCAGAGCTGACTACAGTTTCTTCTACCTATCATGTGCATTATTTGAAAGTCAACCACAGATTACCCTTTATTTTAGCTTAAGTACTCTGAAATGTACACATGTAAAAATCACCTAATGCAGAACCATGAATTCCCTTCTTTTTCTAAAACAGATTTAATGTACTCGGTTTTTCCATAAAACTACTTTTGAAGTCTCTTTGTCAAGAGGAAGTCAACCAACTGTAAATCAGTAACTGCTAAAACTAAAACGGTGAAGCAAAACAAAAAGCCAGGCTGAGGAACTTACAGTGCCCATTGCCAAAGTGAAGTCTTTTTTCATCCGCCCCATGTTTTGACTTGTTATAGCCACAGAACCTGGAGGTAAATGAAAGAAAGCAACACGTAAGAGGCACATACGTGAAATAGTTATCTATGCTCAAAATGTGCAAACCATAAAAACGAAGCATTTTCCTCAAACAATTAAATGCTTTAGTGAAAGTTTAATAACTTCATATTTTCTAAATCCTCCATAGAAAGCCCTTCTCTCTGGGGACCCTGGAAAGCTGCCTAATGAGGAGATACATAGAGTTGCTTCCCACTGTGCAGACCCTCCAGTTCAGTTTTTATAATGGCCTTAGAATGTGTTTATAGTATTTTTTAACAACTACTGTTAGAAGGAATGAAGGGTAAAGTCTCCATGGGTAATGATTAGTGCTGTGCAGTGTTACCCACGTTCTGGGTGAGAAAGTGTCAAGGAAATCTGAGGTTGTTTGAAGAGTGAGAAGATAATTAGAGAAAGAAAGTAAAAAGTAGGAGTAAGATCAGAAGACAGAAGGGGAGGGGTGCGTGTTAAAGAGTGGGGACAGGAATTTAATGTAGAGCAGAAAATCCAAACTAAGGATGGAGACACAAAGAAAAGAAGGAGAGAGGACCTAAAATAAGGGAAAGACTTTCTTGTTTGTTAAAATATTTTATTGAGCACACTCTTCAAATGTTAACGGCAATCAAGGGGAGTAAATGAAGCAATAATGAGATAAAATAGTAAAACAGACGGTGAACTCACCTCCCAATCAAAACATAGATGACAACCGTGAGGAGAATGATTGCTACTGCTGCTGAAATGGCGATCAGGACCACTTGGCTGCTCTCACCGGAGATGGAGAAAGCTGTGATGTCGAAGAGAAGAAACAAGAACAGGTATTAGCGTCAGGACTGACACCTACATGGAACCGCTGATTAATTAAATTATCTGTGTCCTACTTTTACCTGCAATATGGCTTAATGTCTGATACAGTGTTGAAAATATTCTTAGTGTTTAAAAAAATAGATATTTCCCGTAATTTTGCTTGAAATTTCTACCTAATCAATAAGATTGAGAACTCTGTTTCAATGACATCAATCAAACATCATTTAAATGTCTCCTGCGCAAAATATGCTGGACTGAATTTCTCTGTCCTCAAAGACAAAAAACTTGTTGGATGAACCAGAAGTTATGGAAAAATCTTAGGGAGATGAAGATTTCTCAGCATAAAATTTTAAAAAGCTTTCTAATTAAGCTTACTTTACCTCCAATATCTGTATTCATTTGAAAAGTGATAATACGTGGACCGCAACACATAGTACCAGCAAACTGTCCTATTTCCTACCTTATAAATGACTCCTGAGCTCATTTATTCACCAGGACAAACAGTTGGTAAAAAGGCCCAGGAGCCAAATTTTGCCTGTGCCCCATTTTTATACAACTCGCGAGTTTAGAATGGTTTCACATTCCTTCCAACAGTCGTAAAAAGTCAAAAGAACGAGATTTCATGACACGAAAATTCTAAATCAGGAAATTCAAATCTTGCTGTCCATAAATAAAGTTTTACTGGAACATAGCCACGAGCAGTCATTAATTTGTGTATTGTCTCGGACTGATTTTATGCCAGAATGGGCAAGTTGAGTAGCAGCAATGCAGAATGAATGTGCATAAGGTCTGAAACAGATCTGGCCTATTACCGAACAGAAGTTTACTGACTCGTGACCCGGAACAATGCTTCTCAAACTTTACTGTCCACCCAAACCACTCAGGAACCTCTGGAAGAGCAGCTTCTGATTCAGTCAATCCGGAGTGAGGAATGAGATTGTACATTTCTTATGAACACACAGGCGGTGTCGACGATGCTGAGTCCAGACCACAACATTTTGAGGATCAAGAATCTAGACCATAAATATATAAAATAACCCTCTCCTCTCCATCTCCTCATCATTCTGCATCCAATTAATCACCAAACACTCTTAAATATCCTAGTTTAAGTCTTCATTTATCTTCTGGATTATAATTAGAAATTCCTAAATTTGGTCTCTATTTGTATAGTTTTCACATCTTTTCTCTTTTAGAATATTCCTTTTAAACCAGAAATTTCACCATGTCATTCCTATGCATAAAGTTTTTGCATAGGAAAATTTTGGTTGTCCATCACTTTCAGGATAAAATGCAAATTTTATAGCAGAGCATGTAAAGACCATCTAGGATCTGTTTCACATTTAAATCTCCAGCCATGCCTCCTACAACTCCATAAGCATCCTAATCTCTAGATTTGGTAAAATACACACAGTTTTCCTGGAAAAACCTCTTCTATTGTGCAAACAATATTTGTACATATTGTTCTTGCCATACATGTTGATTAAATACATGAGCATATCAGGACTCAAAAAAGAGCAGATTTTAGTTATCTGAATACGATCACCTCTCCAGGAACCAACATGGCATCTTCAGCCTGAACAAGTCTAAGTTTGGAATATTTTCTCTAAAATATGTGGTCTTAGGGGTCGTTAAATAATGCAAGAAAAGAAACGTGACAGATAAGTTATTAGGAGTTTCCTGTGACTAGCATCTGAGAAAAAGTGCTCAGAGTGCGGCAGGATGGCACACTCATAATATAAACTGTTGCAAGCCCTTTATTCTTTACTACCAGCAAACTATTGTTTATAGCACTATGGCAGTCAGAGGAGTGCTTGCTCAGCACTCCAGCTGCAAACAGTACAGAGAGCAGACACCTTCCAGCTGCTGCACCTTCAGAATCTGCTGCAGCCTTCAAGCACAGGTTATGTTCCCCTCGGTGACTTAACCGTGCTGGCAAAGGATTACTGGAGCCTAACTGTCCCTCGCCAGTGCAACACTGCTCAGATGGGTGATCTGTACTCTGAAGCGTCCCATTTGCTCGACTGAGACCTCAGAACTGCACTGCTGTCTGGGGCTTCCCCTCCTCAACCCATTCTTTTTCCCTCCTTTCCTTTACAAATGACAGACCTCCATCTCAGTCTGAGGCTCTGCTTGCCTGGCTCAGCTCCATCTGCCTTTTATTCTTCACACGTATTTCTCCTATAACGCTCTTATAGTTCCATCTCCGTACCTGCTTCCCAGAGCATCTGACTGATGCATCCCTATCCATTGGCTGTAGATCTGTGAATGGTTTGTGAAATAGCTTAATCCAATATTTCAAAAATGCTTCATAAACCTGTAGTGATGACTTGAACTCGTGCTTTCCAGTTTGTATACCGTAGTCATTTTTAGGAAGTACTAAGGTATGAATTTTCTGGTTATTTTGATCAGCCAGCTTATAAAATAAAGCTCAGTGAAACTGAGAAGGAAAATATGATAGGAGAAAGAATAATTCTCTATTTCTTTTTCCATCAAAAACAAAATTAAACTAGGATTCTTTACAGTTTTTTCTATCTCTAAAAATATATGACTTCAGAGACTATCTAAAGCACATAAATGAATCAGATCATTTTTATTGCTAAAATTAGTAAATAATGTAATAGTGATGTTACATAAGTGTCTAATAATTTAACATAATTGATAGCTATTACATTTCTTACAAATTCAATTTGATTCTTTTTTTCTTTTCCCTGTTTCCAGTCATTTGCATTTTACTTCATCCTACACAGAGTGCTGGCTTTCTCTCTCAAAAGAGAGATTTGGGGCTCATTCTTTTGAGTCAGAACTCCTGCATTTATACTTATTTGCTGTGTGACATAATTTCGTTGTTTGAGAATTAAATGAGTTAATACTACTAAAACACTTACAGTAACATTAAATACTCATTAAATGTTACAAATATTTATATTATTTCCCTGATGAAAATGTTGCAAAAGTACTCTATTTCCTACAAAATTATAGATGATGAATGCCAAATTTTTATGCAGAAATTTATCTATGTAATGATTTCATTCTTTTGTCTGGCTTCCTTTATATCCCCTAATAATAGGGTCCAAGAGAGTAAGATTGCAGCACTTTTACTCTTTAAAAACAACAAATAATGAGGGTGTAAGGCGTCCGGGAGTGCTAATTTAATTATCCCTGGGGCTGCCTTCTTCACGGCCATATCCAATGCAGTCCTCTGATTTTAAAACTCGACTTTATTCCATAGATTGTTATTCCGGAAATTCTTCAGATGTTCAAATCATGGACTATTTGTTTAACTACAGCACACACGCAGTGAGTACCTGCTGTATGAGGCTATATGAGGTAAGATTTTAAGCACTTTACAAATAACGCATTTAATCAACAGGAAAACCTCATGAGTTATTCACATGATCTCCCCCAATTTCCAGATAGCAAAACTAAGTCGTGGAGACTTGAAATGGCTTGTCAAGTTCACTCTAACAGTGCTCCTCTGCTCTAACGTGTTTGCTCCTAACTCCCACTTTATCCCTGGTTTTCTTGTGCACAAATCACACTCCACAGCTTTAGTTTTTCCCAACTGAGGATTTCCAAACAGTTGGACTCCCTGCTTTTCCAAACATGACTTAATGCCTGTACTTCTCACGTCGGTGACGCTGCCTCCACGCTACGAAAACCCTTTCACTCTTTTGTGTCATATTCCATGCTTTCTATGGGTGTCTCAATGTGGGTTTGATTTGCATTTCTCTAATGACGAGTAATGATGAGTTTTTTTCATATGTTTGTTGGCTGCATAAATGTCTTCTTTTGAGAAGTGTCTGCTAATATCCTTTGCCCACTTTTTCATGGAGTTGTTTTGTTTTTTTCTTGTAAATTTGTTGAAGTTCTTTTTTTTTCATGTGCAATACTTGCAGTGGGTCAACACTTCAAAACTTGGTGATTCTAGGTTTGTCGCTCCCCTGACTAGATATGCAAACTTAGAAAAAAGCACATAAGCTCTGTATGTTAGGTGATGTATACAAGGAAATAATGGTATCTGAATGGCTTACAGAACAGAATCAAATGAAATGTTTCTCATCCTGCTTTATATACTGCCACATAGAAACATGGATCCTGGAATCAATGTATCCCTTGCCAATTGTGTGACTTTGGAAAACTTCCTTAGCCTCTCTATGCCTTAGTTTCTTCATCTGTAAAATGAAGGTGATAATAAATATAGAGCACTGACATACAAAAACAAGATATTTTAGAGCACTCAGAAAAAATATGTGGTCTACTCCGCCTCCATCTCTTCTCTATGAAATTCAGAAAATATTATCTAGATTCTAGCTCAAAATACCTTGTGTTCTACTAAGAAATATGCATGCATGTCATGAATGAGAATTCTTATGTAATTAAAAAATTAAAGCCGGTTGGGTGCAGTGGCTCACGACTATAATTCCAGTAATTTTGGAGGCGGAGGCATTCGAATTACTTGATGTCAGTTGTTCGAGATCAGCCTGACCAACATGGTGAAACCCCATTTCTACTAAAAATAAAAAAAAAATAGCTGGGTGTTGTGGCACAAGCCTGTTATACCAGCTACAGAATCAGTTGAATCTGGGAGACAGATCTTGTAGGGAGCAGAGATCGCACCAATGCACTCCAGCCTCAGTGACAGAGCAAGACTCAGTCTCAAAAAGAATAAATAAATACATAAATTGAATAAAATTAAATTAAAACTAGAGAAAAAAATGAAACTGTTGAATACAAACATAATTCTTTTGCCTATTTTAAAAAAAATCAACATATAAAAAATAAGATTCTTATTAAATACTTAGAGTATTTAGGAATGTGTCATTTTGATTAATAAAAATAGTAATAGTGAGACAAAATTTTTTTTTGTCTTTTACCTCCTAAGACAAAAGGGATTTCTTTTCTCATTTATATTTAAAATCTGGAAATATTATGGTGAAATAGCAAAAGTAAATTAACTTTTCTTTAAAACGTGTAACTCATACTTTTTAAATAAATGAGGAAGGAGAAAACAGCTCATATTTTTTCATTCTTTTTTCTCTTCTCTCTCTCAATCAATGGAAGCATTTCTAATCAAAACTTACTTGGCAAAAATCCCAAGACCCTGCAGTTTTCAAATGAGATATTTATTAAACCTCAGACACCAAAGCCGCATTAGAAGTTTATGCATAAATGCTACCACAGCAATATCTGTGATAAATCTGGAACTACATTAGAATTTTAAAATATATTGCTTTTGCAAATTTACTTATCAGAGAGGGTTAAGTGTGAAGACCATGTAAAACTAGAGGGATGTTTCCAAGTATGAATAAGAAGTGTTTATCTAGTAGTGATCTGAGGCTTTGCCTGATTTCCACCACAGGATACAATAAAATTGGCTTTTGCTACTTCTATTATTTTGGGTCTCTCCTGATAAATCAAATATAGATTTTGTTATTGCTTTTATTTCAAATATTCATTTAAGTCCAGCACTTTGGAAGGTGAGGCAGATGGATCACCCAGAGGTCAGGAGTTTGAGACCAGCCTGACCAACATAGTGAAACCCCATCTGTACTAAAAATACCAAAAAAAAAAAAAAAAAAAAAATCAGCAGGACTTGGTGGCATGCAGCTGTAGTCGCAGCTACGCAGGAGGTCAAGACAGGAGAATTGCTTGAATCTGAGAGGCAGAGGTTGTAGTGAGCGGAGATCCTACCATTGCACTCCACCAGCCTGGGTGACAGAGCAGGACTCGGTCTCAAAAAAAAAAACAAAAAATTGAGAAAAGTTAATCTGTAATCATTTGAAAAATAGAAACCTTCTTTGTACCAATTAGCATTTGCAAAAAGTCTTAGAAGTACTAGTATTAAGTTACGCTTAGGTTTTATATTGGGTCATCTAGAGTTTTTAATGTGTCTTAAACCCTGCTGGCACTTGCATTTCCATACTATTTCATGTATTGTTTCTAATATCCTCTGAGAGTGTTTTCTCCATACTCATTTTATCGTGACTGTGACAAGAGTTAAGAATAGATTTATGTATTTGAGGATGGCAGCTTTCCTTTGAGTAGAACTGTCGTGGTGCAGCTGAGAGCAGATGATTACCAAAAACATTAGCATCTCAATACCTGGTGGGATTTACAGCTCCTTATTGCAGGCAGCGTTTCTAATTATCTGACAGAATATATGTCATAAAATACTTATTCCAGCATGAGTAAACTTGATGGAGTAAATACTGTATAACTAGAATGATTTTTATATTTTAGGTCAATCCTGAATGTTTTTATCAGTTATCAAATTTGGACACAAAAATGCACGAATAACAATGAGATTTTATGTCAGAAACAAACTATCTAGAAGATGGTAACTACAGGTGTCAGGGAAAAAGGGTAAATGAGAATGGTCAGAAGCTTATGATGTAAAGTGTTACTTTTTCAGATGAAGCTCTGTAGAGTGTTAAGCTTTGTCAGACCCTTCCTGGATAATCTATTTCTAAAGGGTGTGCATTTTTGCTCATCCTTCTAGGTTATTTTACAACTGTGAATTTAAGTTGTAGAAAGCCAATAGTGAGATATATATATAATTTTTCCTTTAACAAAATAACACTTATTTACTAGAAATACAACTGGTTTGTGCTCTGTAGGAAAGATGACCTCAATCATTACATTTATTAACCCAACTGGATATTAACCAGTTTGGAATATATTAGCACATTTTTAACATATTATGACTGCTTAAACACACACACACAGATACACACACATACACACACACAGTTATGTATCCGTTCGTCAAGATTTTCTTAGAATGGGTTTTAATCTCTTACTAATCTGCTGATTATTTAATAAGTTAAATAAAATCATTAACTTGTATTCATTTTATGTTAGTGCCATAGACATAATTTTACCTTTTTGAAAATTATATTTTATCAAAGGGCTTTTTAAAGTATGAAGAAAATTCATCTGAAAAAAGAAAAGTTACTGGGAAAATGCTTACCAGTTTTAGGACAATTTTAGCCAAATTTGGGGTTAAAGGAACAGGCTATCCAAATTACTTGTGAACGTGAATAAAGTGACAAAACACATTTTAGAAAATCCTTATTCTCTATGTGATATGCTATTAAATGTGCTAAGGATTAAAACAAAATTAAGATTCTCATGGATCAGCAAGTTCCTTTTTTGTAGTTCACTAAATCATGCAATGAACCTAGAATATCTGCAATGAAAGGCACTGAAAGTGTGTTACGATATTAAATAATGTTCCTCTAAAGCAATTTACAGCTAACAAAAAACCAGAAGCATTTCAAACATTAGAATATGTTTGATTTGTGCAAGAGAAAAAAAGAAACACAAAATGTACGCCCACATAAACACAAATACTGTATACAGACATGAGGCTCTGCAAATTGCTAAATGTCCCAAGCAATAAACCTTAAATGCATCACATTTGGTTAAGACTTAGAGATAATGAGAATAAGTGATCAGACATCTTTCGCAAGACCCCTACCCTCTCCTCTAAACTACACTGAAATGATACATACAATCGGGACTGGTTTCAAACTCAAACTTGCGGCTGTTCGTCCCATATCCAGCGGCTGTTCGGGCTCGGATTTGGAATACGTATGCTGTGTCAGGCTTGAGGCCACTGATGGTAACATTTGTGGCTCTTGCTCTCAGAATGGTATAACTTGTCTCTTGTTCCTGCTTTGAGGTCAGAAAAAAATATCATGTTAAAATCAAATCTTTATAATGCTTTAAAATGGTAAACAGTGAACCACTCAAACCTGATTCTTTTGTATTTTACCACAGATAGGATGGATTTAAAAAGTCATGTCCATTATTTCAATTATTTTATTCTATGAATGCAACATAGGCTTTTTTTTTTTTTTTTTCCTGATGGAGTCTCACTCTGTTGCCCAGGCTGGAGTACAGTGGCACGAACTTGGCTTACCAAAACCTCCACCTCCCAGGTTCAAGCAATTCTACTGCCTCAGCCTCCCAAGTAGCTGGGACTACAGGTGTGCGCCATCATGCCCAGCTAGTTTTTGTATTCTTAGTAGAGACAGGGTTTTGCCATGTTGGCCAGTCTGGTCTTGAACTCCTGACCTCAGGTGATCCACATGTCTTAGGCTCCCAAAGTGCTGGGTGCTCACAAGCGTGAGTCACTGTGCCCAACCCAACAGAGGCATTTCTAAAAGACAAAAATATTACAGAATTTCCTAAATTCAGTATTATGATTTCTGCCCTGCACATAAAGCAGGAAAAGGTTGGCTTTATTCTAACTAACTAGTGAATATGTGAGGGAAGATATTTCTCTTCAAAGTCAAGGCTGAGAGAAAGCTTCAATCTAATTCCAATAATAAACTCACAAAGAAGAAAATATCCCTTTGAATGAAACCTAAACGGTGTTAGGGAAAAATGGCACCCACACAAATACAATGGAATTTCTAGAGCGTTCCTATGAGGATTGCTATATTTATTCTGAAGCAGAACATTTTTCTATTAACCTTAAAATATTAAGCATAAAAAGGTTTTATATGTAGTTCTACATTAATTATTTTTAGCATAACTGTATTTGTGCTGTATTTAATTTAAGTCACTGTGGTTTGGTAGAGACAAAAATCTCCAGATCGAAGGCTAGAAATATCTCCCAACAAGGATCTCCCCTAGGAGATTAACATCGTACATTAAATTCACTGCACATTTTAGTGGTCTCTTCGTGTCGATCCTTGTTCACAAAAATTGAATTTATGCAGAATTGTGTTTTTTTTTTCTGACAGATATTATTATACACAGAGCTCCTATGGGGAACCTGATTTCAAGCAATGGTACAATGTGCCTGCACCTAGGGTAGGGTCTGGAGTGGCTAACATGAAACACTGTAGATCCCCAAACAAAACTAGATTGAATAGTACAGAGAACATGTCATGCACTACAGACACCAAAGAGAGCTAGACTTTGTGGAGCTTAAATCCTAGAGAACCTTTCTAAATCTTACCAAGCATACTGTAAACATTTAGAATTAATTTTTAAATGTAGGTATATAACATGCAAATACGTATTTATATGAATATGTATTTTAAATAATATTACAGATATGTATGCATCAGAAAATATTTAGGAAATAATCAATACATTCGGCCATTTTGTTCCTGCATTGGTTAATATTGTTTAAAAGTAATGGCCAGGCGTGATGGCCGACACCTGTAATCCCAGTACTTTTGGAAGCCGAGGTGGGTGGATCATCTGAGTCCGCAGTTCAAGACAAGACTGACCAATATGGTGAAACCCTGTCTCTACTAAAAATACAAAATTAGCCAGGCCTGGTGGCACATGCTTGTATTTGGGAGGCTGAGGCAGGAGAATTGCTTGAACCTGGGAGGTGGAGGTTGCAGTGATTCAAGATGGTGCCATTGCACTCCAGTCTAGGCAACAAAAGTGAAACTCCATCTCAAAAAAAAAAAATAAATAAATGATTGTTGCATTTGTTGAAGGAGTTTGAAATAAGGCAAAATTTCAAATTTTCCCAAAATGTTTGTGAAAGGTATGAATGTGTACAATTAAACTTTGAGGTCGGCCTCATAGATCTAAATGTTAGGTGTTCTCCCAGTTCTGAAATCTCGTTTAAACTGAAACACATCCAATGATGATTTGATTTTTTTTAATTTTGTGGCATCATTTATGAACATGAATTCTTATCTCTGCCCATTCTATCTTGCCACACTTCTGAAAATAGATCACAATCATGTGAATATTTGATTTTACCACAGTAGAGGACTGAAAGCTAAGACAAAACTTATTTCTACTATAATTTTGGAACAATGAAGTTTATTTGGCACCAATATTTTTTAACGCAAAAGACATACCTATCTCTGTAAGAAAGACTGAAAAAAAATGACATTATGCTTGAGAAATACATTAACTTCAAGCAAGAAAATAACTACATAATGCAAAACAATGTTTCTACATCATGCATTTTGCACAGTTGATTATATATGCCAATAATTCTCATAACAATCTATTCTCATGTAGAAAAAGGTACCTGATATAGGGAGAGACATACTAAAGCAGGACTTACGGCTGCCACAATTCAAAACAGAGTCCTAATATTTATTAGTGGTGAGGCTGTGGGAAATTTACATAATGTCAGCTTCAGTTTTCTTATTTGTAAGAACTTACCGTCCTACTTTCATAAGGTTATTATACAGCTCAAACTTAAGTAACATCCACAGAAATATTCTGTAAATATAAACCGCTATATAAATGTGCAATTTGCATTGAATTCATTTTCACACACTTTATAAACTGGAGCAGATAGACAAATAGCTGGTGTTCACTTTAATGGCTGTGAAACCAGCTATAATTCTAAGATTTAAACATATCTTGCCGTTAAATTTTACCATCATTTATAAGCAGGAAAAAAATGAATTACTTAGAATTATGGAATACTGCCCACTCAATTCAGGGCGAAATAACCACATACCTTTTTTAAAAAAATAATTTTTAAATTTGGGGTAAAAATAACCATGTTCCTGTTTTCTCAACGATTGTATTACCAAGCCACAACTTTATGTCAGGCAAATTTATCCATCCACCCCCACCCTTTTAAATTTCCTTCTAGAGTCAAGAAAGCTTTTTATCATCAGTTAAATAATACAATTTTTTATTACTAGCACAATGTTTCTATTTGTATTGAACAAAATGCTTGTGACTGTGGAGGTCAGAAAATGCTTGAGGCAATGAAGTAAAAAAAATAGTTCACATATAGACTAAGAAATCACAATGAGGTAGTTGGGCTTGAAGGGGTCTTGGTGTAAAAGGATATAAATGTAAGGGCTATTGCCTCCCTCACTAACTGGATTGAGTTGGCAGTGGCATCTTTGATGTTGCTTATTGCTGTAGAATAAGGGGTATTCAGCAAGATGCTTTCTAAACCTTCCTCTACCAATAATCGAAAGGGTCACGTGGCCACGGTTCTATACAGCGTTCTACCATTTACCAGCAATGACACTGGTTTCTTTGAAAGAGCGCAGCTCATGAGTAAACAGCCTCTTTCCTACACAGCGCAATCCTGCAACGTTGTCTCCCCACCTTTTCATAGTATTTGACCTCGTAGTCCAATATGATCCCATTAGGGTGTTCAGGTTCTTGCCAGGACAAAGAGATGCTATTTCTGGATGTCCGATCTTTCTTAATCGTCAGGACAGGCGACGGAGCTGCAAAGAGAGGATGGGAGGGAAAGGTGGAAGGAAGCAAATTAATGGGTTGGAAAGGGTGGCGAGTGAAACAGAGAGAGAGAAGAGAATATACAAATGGAGTCTCTCATTGTTCCAATTTTTGGCCGGAAAGCACTATTTCCATTTCCAAGGCTCTTGAGTATTAATCTGGCCCCATATCCAGGCTCAACAGCTGGATTATAACCCTGGTACATGCAGGCCTCGGGAAAATGAGCTGGGATTCTCTGCTGCTGGTGGACTAGCGGCAAGTGAGCAGATGTTTTCAATCTGCTACTATAATGTAAGCAATGAAATATATTTGATATATTAAAAAAAGAACAAAACATCAGGACTACCTATTCGTTATAATGTTGCAAAGTTATTAATGCCAGATTCTTCAGCTCATTGATAACATTTTCATACGCAGCTCTGCAAGAGGTGCATATGAAATCCATTATGCACAAGGAGTCCCATGGTATCCATAGGTAATAATAATATTTAGCGTATTGTAAAATAGATATGATTTAGGACATATTACAGTAGGTCTTGACTTCTGACAAAAATCTTTTGAATACAAAAAAAAAAGGAAACAAGTCTTCTTTTCTACATTTTTGTTTCTTAAATAAAATGTAAAAAAATTTAATGAAACGTATCAAGGAAATGACTGCTATATGTGTTACAATTACCTAGACATGTTTTGAAATGTCTTATTTGATGGTGATTCTACATTTGCTACATTTTGCTAAGCATTATCGAAAGTATGGGATATGAATAAAAAAGCCATCTGTCTGGATCAGATATCATAGGGTCAAATTCATTTCTAACTGAAGATTGAATACATTTTAAGTGATTTCCTTCTTCAAATCCTCCCATTAAAAAGAAAAATGTCCACTATTATCAAACTACTTCTGCTTTCAAATCTGAATCTTGGTTCACCAGCCAATCAAAACGTCTCACTGCAGTTCAGTGGTCCCCTGTCTTAATGGAGTGCAGCAAAATCAACTACAAACACACCACAAACAAAAACTCAGGAATCTTCAGATGCATTAACTGTTGAACGGTTTTTGTTGTTAGAGAACTTATTTTGACATAGATTTTTCTCAGATCAAGGACGATAGGAACCCCATGCATTTGTACTGCCCACAAGTTAGCTGAAGTTGCACGTTTGTTGATGCTTCTGATTATCACAGGATGACATTTGCATCTGACCTAACGTTCAAACTGTTCCTGTCTATAAATGCTTTTCATGTCGATTCTTCGCCTATAATAGGAACTTTCATGATGCTTGCCTTGTGCCATTTCAGAGAAAACTGTACACCAAAAGATACAATCTATTCCAAAATTTTCCACCCACTTGTTTTTATCGTTTGTAAGATCTTATAGGAACTCTTCTCTAATTAAAGCATGGATTGGACTGGGAATGATGACTTAATCTTTCATTTTTTTTTTCCTTCTTTTGAGTCAGTCTCGTCCTTGTGGCCCAGGCTAGAGTGTAGTGATGTGATCTCCGTTCACTGCAGCCTCTACCTCCCAGGCTAAAGCAATCCTGGCTTAGCCTCCCGAGTAGCTGAGATTACAGGATTGTGCCACCACCATCAGCATTTTTCAAAGTTATTTGTAGTGACAAGGTTTTGTCATGTTGTCCTAGCTGACCTTGAACTCCTGGGCTCAAGTGATTCTCCCTGCTAGGCCTCTCGAAGTGCTAGGATTACAGAGGTAAACCACTATGCTTGACCTGACTTAATCTTTTGCCAAGGAAAAATGTAGGGTTTACTTTTCTGATGAAAAACTACATTCATTTACTTATCAACTTTTTGTTCCCATTTAACATCTTTTCACATAAATTAACATCCTTTACCTTTCATTGTTGATTCATCATCTGTTCAATAATCCTCTATTTTAGTCTCTAAATAGGTTTCATCCCCACAACCCTACAATTTGCTCTCTAACATCGATTTAAAGTAAAAGATAAGTTATTTTTCCTATAATTTAGTTAAAGCTTTATAAACATATTTAATATTTATACATGTATTGCTGAATTATAAAGAGATATGTGGATTGTTAAAAAATATTTTACTTTTACTTACTTTAATAGTTAGAAAAATCAATTCATTATCCAATCACTAATTTAAAAAAAATTGCAACCCCAATGTCTTTGGACTCAAATTTTGCATTTTCTACAATGAGGAAATCCTACTAATTTTTCTGCTGAAGTAAATCCATTAGTGGAGTCACATTTAATATGTGTTTCAAGAGTATTTCAAGAAGCTTGATGTTGGAACACTTTCTGTTAGATTCATGCACTCCTGCATTTAATTTGAACACCACCATGAAACCTTCGTTATTTTCCTAGTGGTTGAAATCCATTTCCAAAAAGTTTTGAAAATAACCAGGTACAGCATCCCTCCTTTAAGAAAAGAAGAGTGAGAAAATAATTCATTTCAAAGAACAATTGCGATGAGGATGGCATTAACTTTTTAATGAAAGCTTTGTGGGCTGTTTTGAGGGTCTATCCAAATTTTACTACTTCTGCACTGGGCAGGACTTTGTAACTGTTGAATTTCTTCAAAGTTCCTTGAGCAAGCTACAGGACCCCGTCGGACTGTAATAAATCGCCTTTTGTAATTCCACACTTACTTAAGTAAAGGCAATTGCTTGAAGCTTGTGCCATCGCTCTGTTAAATGAACCTTTTCTGATTGCTACTTTCAGGCCCCTGGTAAGTCATTTGTTCTGCTCTTAATACACGCCCCTTGTGCTGGCCGCATTTCAGCAAAGTTCAATTCAGCGCACCACCCAGAAGCCCACTACTTTTAGGCAATGCTCATCAATCCTTCAATGTTAATAAATAACTAACAGAAATTGTTTTTCTTTCTCCTGATAAATAATGTGGACATAATTAAACATAATGGAGAAAGAGACAAATTCTAGGCATCCATTGTATAAATGCGTTTAAAAAGTTTTTTAGAACACTTTTTAATTCATGTTTTGAAATATAATTTATTTTATGTGCCGTACAATTTAGAATATTAATGATAAACAATAATACAAATTATGTTTTTCATTAATTTTAAGATATCAAAAAGTAATTTGTTCAATTAACTAATTTGCAAATATATAGTAATTCTTTAAATCAATATTTTTTGTGTAAAAATTATGATATTGCAATGTACACTGTAAAACAGATTTATTTCATTTTCATTCTTCTGTTTTTTAAATTTGCAATTTGAGAGAACGGAGGGTAATGGTCATACAAAATAGAAAACAAAACAGAACAGAACAACCTCTCCACTTCCTTCAGGCTGGAGCTCTGCGGAAAGCTACAGGAGACATTAGGAAGGAAGAGAAAGCTCAGGGATTATTACTATTTTTTTTTTTTTGGCAAAAATTCTGGTATATATGCTAAAATCGCAATTGCCAGTAAATGGCCTGATGGCCTAGGTTTTCTGTGTCGTGGCTTTTTTTTTTTCTTTGATACAGAGTTACGCTCTTGTCACCCAGGCTGGAGTGCAATGGAGCAATCTCAGCTCAATGCAATCTCTGCCTCCAGGTTTCAAGAGATTTTCCTGCCTCAGCTTCCAAAGTAACTGGGATTATAGAAGTGCACCACCATGCCCACGTAATTTTTGTATTTTTAGCAGAGACAGGGTTTTCACCATGTTGGCCAGGCTGGTCTCAAACTCCCGACCTCAGGTGATCCACCCATCTTAGTCTCTCAAAGTGTTGGGGTTACAGGAATGAGCCAACGTGCCTGGCCGGATTTTTAATTTTTTGACTCTTATAAACCCTAAATGGCAGATTAGTAAAATGCTTCTCTTATTAAGGAAAGAAGTTGATGACAGAATAGGATGCCGAGAAATTGGTGCAGGCATTGATGCAGGTTAGCAAATAGTTTTGTTGAAAAACAAATGTAGAAACTGGTAAAAAGAAAATTTAAACAGTATAAAGGTAATAATTTTTAGGAAATTTAAAGTAATGTCTGGAATGCAAAATACATTTTTTGTTGTATTGGTGTTTAAGAGAGGGAGATCATATTGATAGTAGATCTTTAGCTTTTGCTATTACAGTTACAGCTGATACACGTGTCCTTTGTAAAACCATAAAGGAGATGTGGCCGGGCGCAGTGGTTCACGCCTGTAATCCCAGCACTTTGGGAGGCCGAGGCGGGTGGATCACGAGGTCAAGAGATCGAGACCATCCTGGTCAACATGGTGAAAACCCGTCTCTACTAAAAATACAAAAATTAGCTGGGCATGGTGGCGCGCGCCTGTAATCCCAGCTACTCGGGAGGCTGAGGCAGGAGAATTGCCTGAACCCAGGAGGCGGAGGTTGCGGTGAGCCGAGATCACGCCATTGCACTCCAGCCTGGGTAACAAGAGTGAAACTCCGTCTCAAAAAGAAAAAAAAAAAAAAAAAAAAAAAAAGAGATGTAATATACTTTGTAAAGCGATATTGATCACATTTAACTTAAATATTTCTAAAAAGAATACAAATACAGGAGAAAAATAGTTAAGACTGAGAAGAAGAAGGTAGCTCACGTATTACACAGTGACCATCCTCCATGAAGCTTCTCTGGACTTACACAGTACTACTGAAACTCCCCAGCACTGCCGGCACTAAGGAATTCTTAACTGTGTAACAGTGGAATCGCATGATGCTTTCAATCCATTCTTCTTTCAAGTTTTTCTTTGGTCATGACATAAAAGTAGACAGATATTTTAACTATGTAATCTAGTAATATGTGTTTTATAAAAGCTGATACAAAAGTGCTTTTCAGGTTGCCTCAATTATTAACTATAAGAGTAGTACTTCGGGTGAGAAACAGAGAAGAACTTTTTCTAAAAGATTGTTTCTTCATGTATTTGAAGTACAGAAGCAAGGTTTTTGCACATTGTAACGTACGTCATTGACTACATTCATGAAATAATAGAAACACAGATTACAAAGGAAAAGCAAAAATGTTAGCTAGAAAATGTCTCCTTGTGAAGGTATTCGGTTAGGG